CCTCGGATTGCTCCGCAGACCCTTTCTCCTGCTTCCCTTGGGGTTCCTCATGCCTCCGTGATGATGCATCTCCCTCCTTGTCCTCATACTCTTCTTCCTTCCCCTCCTCCTTCTTCTCCTCCACCTCCTCCTCCTCATATTGCTCCTCAGACTCTTTCTCCTGCTCCCCTTGGCGTTCTTCGTGCCTCCTTTCTTGCTACTTCCTCTCTACCTCCTCCTCTTCATCCTCCTTGTAGTCCTTCTCGATCCCTCCCATACCTCTTTCCTTCATCAATTCCTCCTTCACTCTTTTTTGCATACTTAATGACGCTCCCGTTTTTGGAGTCCGTCTTCTCTTCCTTTTCTCTTCATGTGCTCGATGGTCTGCAAATCTCCACGCCGCCATTAGGGTCTCACACAATCGTCCTTTCGACGAACCCCATCTGACCGTCATAAAGTTTTGTAATCTTTTTCCCTCCTTGCCAACCTTCCGATGTGTGCGGACTCTCATGCCTTTCCCTTTTGTACTTCTCACTTCTCGTTGTCCTTTGGTCACTACGACTCGTTCACCCTTCTCACCTTTTTGCACTCCCTTCATCAACACTCGCCTATTAGAAACATCCATCGTCCCGCTTTCACAACTAGTCTATTTTTTGCTGTGATCCTCTTCTCCCGATGTGTCAAGAAATTCTACAACAACTTTCCTCGTACCGTGTTGCAAATGTCCGCCTTCTGCTTTCGGAGATTAACCGCCATGTATGTTGCAATTTTCCCCTTCCATCACTGCAAAGTAATCATTTCGCACACGTATTTAACACAAAACAAACAAAAAACCTAAACAGAAATCAATCCAATGTGCCCCTTGCTTTATAGCACGTCGGTTGCGTGACACTACAGATTGCAGTTACGGATTCCTATCCCTTGCACCTCCAACTTTGACATTATCCTTATTATCCACCTCCTCTGCTTGCATCACCGTAATGAACTGCCCCCCTGTATTGGAAAACTTCGTCTCTCTCACGCACGATGGCTACTAAAAAAACCCGCTAGTGTCCTAAGTTCTTTTTTCCTAATTTTTTTTTTAATTCATTTTTTTTCGATCAATGGTCAGTAAAACCCCTCAACCCCCCTCCCCCCCCTATCATGCCCCATCCCGCTCTCTATAATATCTCCCCTACCCCTTCACGTTTTCAATCAAGGGCTAGTAAAAGCCCCTAGAGGAACATACACAACGATGAAGGAGGTGAAACAACAATGTATTCTGTTTTTTGTTTTTTTTAAGGAACAAAAAAACAAAAGACACAAGAAGGAAAAAGAATATAATGCACAGTAAAAAATAGAAGATCATTAAACCACCAGTACTTGGCCTATACATCTGGCGGGAGTAGATGTGGTATGCGCTTTGCAGCTTTTGAGCTTCGCGAGTACCCGACCACAATGGTCGTATTTTTTGCGCTGGCGGGTCACTTCTGGCCTCGTACAAAAATGCCCCTGAAGTATTGGTGCTTTAAGAAACTTAGTATCTGTAATTGTAAAAATTTTCTATTTTGAGCCGTCGCTCGGCTACGCATGTCGGGACTGCGTTTGACCTGAGCAGTCAGAATCCGACCTTACCTTCCATTTCGATGGTGGGTCACCCAGCAGTGTTCGGGGGGTATAAAGTTACTCTAAACAGTGACAAGAAGGGTTTAAACGGGTTAATGACCGTAAATCTTACCTCATTTCTTCTGATTTATTTTTATCTTTAAATTAATAACGAAGTTCGAGGGGGCCCTCAGCCAAAAGTTGCTTGTACTGCAATTTTATGTAACATATTTTTATTCCAGATTTTTTATTTAGTTTTGTATTTTCTATTTTTTTAAATATTATGCGTTGGGGCTGGCCGGGAACCTGCCCTGCCCGGGCCGCCTGGGAGGGTACCCGGGCGATCTTCCCCCAACCGGGTAGCGTGGGAACCAACCTAGGAAATTCCCTTAATTCTTGTACAAAGATGTACAAATTCGTAAAATAATATTAAACCCCAATTTAGAAATAAACTGAAGTACAATTGAAAGAAAAGAGCAGAAAGGTGTACTAAAGTAATTCATTAAAATTGGTATTTTGAAGACATGCCCGAACATGGAAATAATTGCAGCTTGAGTTTGTGTTAAAAAAACGACTTAAGGACTTCAAAACATTTGCATGTACCTTCGTTGTTCTGCAGACTAGACGATGAGTGTGACTTGCATCACAAAATCGATGGGCAAGAAACAGAGCTGCAGACATACCCACATACACACAAACAAAGGAATGTGAGGAGTTGATCATACCAAACAAATAAACATATTCAATATCATACTTTCTGATGTGAAACAAAGGAATGTGAGGGATATAAGGTCTCCTTTAATGTTTCCATTTGAAAGAGGAGGACAAGTTGTTAAGGGCCAAAACGGCTAAAGCAGCAAAGTCGTCAGGGATCAAAAACTGTAACACTCTCAAGATAAGCCACAACACAAATCCCACACGCTTGTCCTAGTCTGAAGTGTTAGTCCCACTACGGAGTTCCCCCCGTTATTCCTGATTCACAATCCCAAGTCCTAGCCCTGTGTCATAGGCCCCTGTCACAGTCCAAGCCACAATCCTTTCTCAAGGTCAGATTCTGACTGCTTACGCCAAGTGCAGTCCATGCCTTGCCTTTTTTTTGACCCGTCAGGTTTTGCTCGGCGACCCCCCATCTTTGTCCATACGCACGAGCTGGGCGATGGTCGGACTTAGATTATTATAAATTTACTAAATTAAAATAGAAGTGCAGAATATGAAAAAAAATGTAGTCCGCAACAAAATAACATCAAATTGCATACTCGTCAGATCTTGACCCAAACCCAAACGATACATATTGACACATCAGACCAAACGTTTTGTCCCACGCCGCACGGTAGGCATTGGCACTGTGCGGGACAGAAAAAAAATCCCATGTGCGTCCCCATAGTCGCAACCTCTGCTATGATTTCATCCAACACTGTTTTTTTACTATCCACCAGATTTTTCAGCGCAACAATTTCCCTGTCCTCAGGGGGTTGGACATCAAAAGTTTCCCTCCCCATCTTCTCCACCTCGTCCCTTTTCTTCTCCACCTCTTTCCCATTCTTCTTCACCTCACTAACCTTCTTCAACTCCTCCCCTTTATTCTTCACCTCCTCACCCTTTTTCTTCACCTCCTCCTCCTTATAGACCTCATCAAGCTTCTTTTTCACCTCCTCCGTATTATTTTCCACCTCATGCACCTTCTTCACCTGCTCCCCCTTTTTCTTCACCCCCTCCCTCCTCTTCTCCACCTCCACCCTCTTTCTCTTTCCCCCTCCTCCTCTCGATCCCGTCGTTGTTTCTTTTGCCCTTCCTTCATTTTGTACTCCCTCCCCAACCACACCCCCCTTCTCTTGAACCACAACTCCACCGCGAAGAGCCGACCCAAAATATCACTTAGCGTTTTTTGTACTTCCTCCCCGTTGATCTTAGTCTCCGATTTAAATTTGTTCATTTCGTTCGTTAACCCTGAGACAATGTGTAGTACATGGCTAGGCCCAGACCGTGCCCCAAATCTCCAACTCAGGTTCTTGCCCTGTGTTACTATTTTGAATTTGAGATCAGAACCCTAACCCTCAGCGAGCCTTGCTCGGCTATGGCTCGGCTATGGCTGCCTGCGTGTGCCTTGCTCGCCCGTGAGCGCGTTGGTGTTTGCCTGGCGGTAGCACAGCCGCGCTTGCGCAACGAGTAGCAAGTGCCCAAATGTCTCATGAGGCATACACTTTCTTTTATCAAACTGGTCCGTCTGTTGCGTGCTGCCTGGCTGTGCTGGGCCCCTTCCCAGAAGCTTCCGGTAGGCCCCAAGTGGCTGAGACCCTGACCCAGGGAATCACATGCAGGGCCTGGGGTAAATCAAACTGGATTGCCTGCTGCATGTCGCCTGACTGCCCGGGCCCCTGCCTATAAGGTTTCAGTAGGCCCCAAACGGCTGAGATCTTGACCAAGCGAATCATACGCAGGGCCTAGGGTGGTTACCCGTGTCCAACTGCTTGCGGCCCGTGTTCAATCCAGGCCCCGTGTCTGGCTCAGGTCCTGCCTCAGATTCAGTTGGGAAAAGGCAGGCAGGGCTTGGCCTCACTCAACCAATTGGCGTTGCGCAACTACCTGGATTTCCCAGGTAGGTTCAAGCCAGCAAAAACAGGCCTCTTGTGCCTTGTCAGCCCCGCCTTCACTTGGGGCGGCCGTTCTGACCGAAACAGGGCCCAATAGGGCTTACCGAGGCCTTGAGCCTCGTAAACAAATCCAAAGGACCAGTAAAGTGATCATAAGGACTCGAATGATCAATGTAGCATCAGCAAAGCATCGACGATCAATGTACATCCACATATGTTCAGAGTTGGCATAATGCAGCGCAGTGGAAAACTCGGACATATAACCTGACCAGTTTGACACTGACTCGACCCACCCCATCAGTCATCACACGTGAGAGAGAAGGAAGGGACCTCGTCCATGGAACAAAGGTCCCTCCTTGAGCAAGCATATGGGCTGTCTCTTATACACATCTAGATGTGTATAAGAGACAGGCCTTGCACACGCATATGGGGAGAACCACGGATGAGAAGATGGAGGAAGAGCAAGGCGAAGATGGAGATGGGGGAGAAGACCAAGATTGCGATAGCGCAGTCCAAAAATAGTCTCCCTGCTGATCTCCAAAGCTATGTCCAAAATTACACGAAAATAGACACGGGGCTATCTCAATTTTGTGTTGAAACTAACGTCACCTACATATTACTCTCTCTCTCTCTCTCTCTCTCTCTCTCTCTCTCTCTCTCTCTCTCTCTCTCTCTCTCTCTCTCTCAGCCAGCAAGAAAACCATCTGATTACTCTTAACCCGCAGCGCCATCTCGATAGACATGAAAAGTGCATCCACACCCCAAGACAAACTGAGAGTGCAGAGCCAAACGCTAAGCGTACTTGAGGTTGGAAATTCGATAAATCTCTGAACATATAATTCATATTTGTTTTACATGCTTGACACGGTGCCCGTGCCAAACTTACCAAGCCCTGCCACTGCCACGGAATCCGGCCAGCACAGACGGAGAAGTCATGAAGAGGTAAGCCTTTATACGCCTGTGCAATTGCCCGTATCCCATCCTTCGTGAATGTATGTATGGGCTCACCCCAAAAATCGATAAATACTAAATTCCTGTCACCTCTGTGTTCATATCGCACGAAACCGTGACTGTGATCAAAATCGTAGTGAACACAATGCATGGCAGATGGCCGTCTGCTTTGCAATAGTGGCATTTTTTTGCCACCTGTTGCACGCCACACTGCATCTGCCCCTCTAGCTGATGTGGCTCACTCTTCCCCAGCTCCTCCTGCGGCTCTCCTTGAAGTTGACTCGACCCCATCCCTATTGTCTGGCCTACCACCTCCCGATGTTGTGGCTCCTGTCTTTGCTCCCAGCATGCCTCCTCCATCTTTCTCTTTCCATCTCTTTTTTCAATGTCCTCCAAGCGAGCTTTAAACAATGTCATTTCCTTTTCCATTTCAGCCACTTGTTGCCATATGTCCTCTTTTTGCTTCCTCTGTGGCTCGCCTATCTTCTCTTTCCCTTTATCATTGTTTGCAATTTCCTCCAACTGAACCTTTATCAATGCCATCTCCTTTCCCATTTCAACCATGTCAATTTTTTGTTGTTCCAACTCTTTTTTTTGTTTGTCCAGCAGTCCCTTCATACCAACCATCCCTCTATCCTCGCGAGGCTCATTATGAAAAGCTTGTCTCCCCTTTGTGCCCGCCACCTCCCCCATCTTCCCCACCACCTCCCCCTTCTTCCCCACGTCCTCCCCCTTCTTCCCCACCTCCTCCCCCTTCTTCTCCACCTGGTCCCTCTTTCTCTTTCCTCCCTCTCCTTTTGTGCTCCCACCCATTTCCACTTGACGCGATGACAACTCCCTTGTCGTTTCCAATGACTGTCCTTGATAATTGGGTTTGTTTGGAGCCACGCGTCCTTTCTCCCCCACTTTCTTCTCCATCGCCTTTAAACGCTCCAATGCATCATCAGGGTGTCTCTCAATTCACGCACCTCATTCTCTACCTCTGCTTGTGCCTTGCACCTGTCTGATGTTTCATTTCCAAGGTTGTGGAGTATCTATGTAAAGTACTCGAAAACAATCGGAGACATCTCCGCCGGACATTTTAGCTCACTTGGGCCCCCACCTCCCTGAGCAGAGGAGCCCGGTCTCTTGCCAGCCACCTCTGCTGCAGGTGGAGCATTTTGACATTCCACAATATCGGAGACAGGAACCAACTCCCTGCCCTTGCTCTGGTTGTCTACCCCAGAAGTTTGCTCCCCTCTTGAGCGAACCATCGCTGCTTACCCTTCAGGGAGGATGACATATAAAATATAAACAAACACACACAAAGATTACTCAGAAACGCAAACTATCTTCAAGGGCCCCCACAATACTATGTAAAAACTCATTTGGGCAACCCCACAAAGAATTTTGGAGCGTGAATTGAATCACAGGACCTAAACAGACATAAAATGCACACAACGTTCCAGACTCGCGCTGATTTGAGTTTCTCATAGTCTATAGCCGGACTGAAAATTATGACAACTCATTTTTATACCACAATCTCTACACTATTTAACCTGTCACAAAACTTATATGACTTGTCAGCTCGAGATCCCCATTCAAACCTCTAACACAGACCCGCAGTTCTGTATCGATACCGTGTTGGAAACGTAAGACTTGGACAGTTGCAGATGCACATCGGCTGGTTAACACAACCCATCCGCAACCGATTCCACACCTCGAATTGAAAGGTGCTTCCAGACCGGTAGTCAGATTCAAAACCTTTAGATCCAAGAAAGCGACCCCACATCGAAGTTAAGGGAGGCATTACGAAACAGACGACCTAACCTGCTTGCAAACATCAGATGCATATGTAGTTCTCAGTGCGAGTTCTATGATCCAGACCCCCGTCCAAATCTCAAACGAGAATTCACTAGTCCATCCATGCTAGGACTCATTCCAGCAAGTCGATACAGCACAGCCAGACCGTGTCCCAAGCATTGGATTTAGACATAGTTGGGCGTCTAAGACTACAAGACAATATAAGTTTTTTATCCCCTCTCTCTCTCTCTCTCTCTCTCTCTCTCTCGGTAACAGGCCCCTGAGAAGGAAGCCACATGTGACTCAAACGTATGATCCAGATCCTGACCTGTGAACCGAACTCTAAGCATTACGAGCACACCTGCGACCCATACCCTGATCCAAAACCGACCTCTATGCGGCACATCCTTAAGCATCCTTGAGCATCTTGAATCATCACAACTCAGACGGATCCCCACATAGATACCATGTATGTGACCAGACCTGTCACCCATACCCGTGACCCTGAAAAGAGACCCTGACTTTTCACCGCGACACGAGATCCAGACTCCAACCCATACCTGTGAACCCAAACATGTGACCCATTGACTTTCACTAGGATTTTGGAGTCAGCAACCCCTCCAAAATCCCGGGTTCGATGTCGCATTCCCAAGGGCAAGTTCCTAGTCCCCCTTCTTAATCTCACGGTCCCCATTCTCAGTTCCAGTCCGTAATCCCCAGTCCTAGTCACGACTCACTATCCTGAGTCCGAAATTCCAGTCCGACGAATTTGTACACATGAAAGCGAGAGAGAGAAAAAAAAAAACAACTTTCATGAGAGAAAGCATTTACCGCTTTGTGAGTGCACAACGAACGCAACTGTTAAATGCAACAAAGACAATGTGTTCCACAGGAGCCTTGCAAGAGAGACGGATTACACATTGTATTAAGGGAATTGAAAAGACAATGAACATACATTGAACAAAGCGAGAACGAAAAAAAAACAAAACTATTCTCATAAAAAAATTGCAATACTTTGTTGCCTAAGCAGTGAGTTCGGAACCCCCAATGCTTATGGTTTTGTTTTTCTAGTTTTTTCATCAACATAATGCGTTCGGTTGTTTGAAATATTGCAAGGGTGCACATGATTTCGCGTTGGTGTACACAATTCTACATCGTCGAATGTGGGTTTTCTTCTATCTTTATAACCTTTCTAAAACAATTGTTGGTTGGTTGGTTGCGCAATTTGTTGATGGTTGGTTGCACGATTGACTGGGTGCCATATGAACCAGCTGCCCTATCTTTCAACTACAATCTTCATCTGTATAGGAGCAACCCACACACTGACAGGATGACGATTTGTTGGTTGGTTGGTTGCGCAATTTGTTGATGGTTGGTTGCACGATTGACTGGAACCAGCTGCCCTATCTTTCAACTACAATCTTCATCTATATAGGAGCAACTCACACACTGACAGGATGACTGGGTGCCATATGAACCAGCTACCCCATCTTTGACCAAGATTTTTGAGTGAGCACCCACTCCAAAATCCCCGGTCCCGGGTTGCATTACCAAGTACAAGATCCTAATCCCCCGTCTCAATCCCCAATCACAGTCCCGACTCCCTGTCATGAAGCCAAAATCCCAGACCGATACACTTTTAGACATGAAACCAAGACTTTTCTTAGATGGACTCCCACATCGTGCTTACGTTCAAAGAATAAAAAAAACAGCTTTCGTAAAAGTGTGGTCACAACATAGAAAAAAAAACAAAAATTATGGCCATCTAAAAAAACAGTGGAAAAAAAAAAGAACAAAAGAGTGGCATACGATCATTTAGAGCGATATTGCAAGAAAATAAAGTCCCTCATTCCAAAATGGGTTAGCAAGGGAGAAGGCGCTTACCGCTTTCCGAATGCACAACAGGCCACGCAACTTAGAAATGCAGCAAAGACAAACGTGTTTCACAGGAGCCCTGCAAAAGAGATCAGCTCCACGTTGTAGTAAGGAATTAAAAAGACAATGAACAAACATAAATTGAGGCGAGAAAAAAAAAATTATCATAAACATTTTGCAATAGTTTGACGTGTAAGCAGTAAGCCCGCAATGCTCATGGTTTGGGGTTGTAGTTTTTTCGTCGAAATCAAGCGATCGGTTATTTGAAACATTGCAAGGGTCACCTTGACATGCGACCCAGATTCTAACTCTAGTAGCTGGTTCCCTAGCCCTAACGTCACGTCCAGACCTGCCACCAAGACCTTGACTCAAAACCGAACCCTATACTTTCTTAAACATGTTATCAACATTAACTTATACATTCACATGAACATGCACATCGTACCACAACTTTGCTGAGTCGATCTAAATCCGATTCGACACCTCAAATTCATGGATGCTTCAAGATAATACTTGAGACCAAAGACAGCCAATCCCGCATTCGCAACTCGAACACATGCCCGCAATTCTAAGCTTCAAATGGAACATAACATATTTTCAAAATAGATACGGGGACCTGGACGCTTAGTTGAACTTAAGATCAACGTACATACGGGGACCCTAACCCCGACATGTGACCCAGACCTTTACGATCAAACCTGCGACCCACAACTTGACCCAGAACCGAACCCTATGTTTTCTTAAACATATCATCAAAGATACTTATGCATTTACTTGAACATGCACATTGCAACACGATTGCACTAAGCCGATCTAAACCCAATTCGGTACCTCAAATGTATGGGTGCCTCAAAACCATACGTGAGACTTAAGACGCCAAACACTCGCTTCCACAAAAGGAAGCAAGGCCCGCAATTCTATGCCAAAACTCCATTCACCAACCCAAACACAGAGTCTGACGAAGGACTTAAACAAAGTTTCAAATGTGATAGAACACATCAGCAAAAACAAAATCGGTACCTGAATGCTTTGTTGAACATAACATCAACGTACATACGGAGACCCTAAACAAGACCTGTGGAGTACGTCCCCGACCCTAAGCATCACGACCAGACCTGCAACCCAGACCTTGACCCGAAACCGAACCATATCATCAAAATTAACTTACGCGTTTAGGTGAACACGCACGTTGCAGCACAACTTCACTAAGCCGACCTAAACCCAATTCGATACCTCAAATTCATAAGTGCTTTCAGACCGTACCTGAGACTCGACGTCACTGAGCCAAACACTGTATATAGACAAAGTTTCAAATGCAATAGACCACATCATCAAAACACCTGGTGGGACCTTGATGCTTAGTTGAGCATAGGATCAACTTACGTACGGGGACCTGCACCCAGACCTGTGACCTAAATCCCGCCCCCGACAATTCGGACCCATTGCATCACGAGCAGACCAGCGACCCAAACCTTGACCTGAAACCGAACCCTATCCTTTCTAAAACATATCATCAAAATAAACTTATCCATTTCGATGAACATGCACATTGTAGTATAACTTCACTAAGCCGATCTAAACCCAAATCTGTACCTCGAATTCATGGGGCCTTCCAGACCATACCTGACAATCAATACGCCCAAACCCGCATCCGGAACTCGAGCACAGTCCCACAATTCTACTCCATTCGGCAACCCAGACACTTAGCCAAATGTTGGGCTTGGACAAATTTCAATAGAACAGACCACATCATGAAAACACACATGGGGGAGTCGGACGCTTAGTTTAACATAAGATCAACGTACATACGAGGACCCTAAACTGGACCTGTGACCTGGACCCTGACCCCGACATGTGACCCGGACCGTAATCATCACAACAAGACCTCCAACCCAGACCCTAAGCATGAGAAGCAGACGTGCGACTCATACCTTGTCCCTAAACCAAACCCTATGCTTTCTTGAACATATCATCAAAATAAACTTATACATTTCGATTAACATGCACATTATAGCACAACTTAACTAAGCCGATCTTAAACCATATTCGGTACCTCAAATTCATAAGCGCTTCCAAACCGTGCCTGAGACTCAAAACGCCCCAACCCGAATCCAGAACACGAACACGTGCCCACAATTCTATGTCAAAACTCCGTTCAGGAACTCAGACACTTAGTGAGATGTTGGACTTAAATAAAGTTGAAACAGAACGCATGATCACAATAGATATGGGGACCCGAACGCTCAGTTGCACATGAGATCAACGTACATACAAAGACCCTAACCCACACCTGTGACCTGGACCCTGGCCCCGACATGCGACCCAAACCCTATGCATCACAGCCACACCTGCGACCCAGATGTTGCCCCAAAACCGAGCCCTATAC